CCTCTGGCAAGGGTTCCAAGTGGACACTAGATGCGTTGACGGGTAAACCTGTCTCGCCATCGAAGATGTGATAACACTCTTTCACTGGCCTTGTCGGAGGAGCCCGGGCCCTGGCCTCCGAGTCGCTTGAAGCGACGCCGATCGGAACGAAGTTCGGATCCGACTTGAGGCGGCGGCGGCGTCGATGACGACGGCGGCCGTGACGTGGAGCTTTGCTGCCTACGTCTAGGGATGTCGTTGCTACGACATCCGAGGCACTCGTGGCCTCGTGTGGTACTGTGGTACCCACACAGGAAGCGTGTTCGACGCCTTCCTCTTCAGTTAAGGTCTGGGCGACCGAGTGTGGCACTGTGTTACCCACACAGGAAGCGTGTTCAACGCCTTCCTCTTCAGTAAAGGTCTGGGCGACCGTGATTGGAGCTTTGTTACCCACTCTGAACACGCTGTTCTCAGTGTTCGTAACAGCTGCAGCTGTCTGCGGCACTAAGTTACCCGCCTCTGGGCCTAGGTTACCCACTTGGCCAACGCCTCTTCTGGGCGCTGCCACCATCAAAGCATCCTCGGAGTCGTCATATACGTCGACGCCTCCCAAGCATCTGCCGAATGCTTTGGTACCCTGGCATCTGCCGAATGCTTTGGTACCCTGGCAGCCCTTGCGGGCGCCCCGGGTCCTGACAGAGGTGGGAACATGACTCACCAATGCTCTGTCGGACTGCGCAGGGCGGCTGGCACCGATTGCCTTGCCTCGCCAGTCGATTCAGGGCTCGTGCGTCTCAAGCCAGGGCATGCCCAGGATCATATCATATGGATCCATATCGAGAACAGTGAACTGTTCGAGGCTGTCAAAGTCTTCAAACTTGACGGCCAGATCCACTTGGGCGTTGGGGACAGTGACGACCTTCCCGTCGGCCAGTCGCACTGACACCGTTCCGTTGCCCCTGCTTTCCCTCAAAGCATCGGACAACTTGTTGCTGTTGCGAGCAACCGTCTGGCGGCGTGCGAAATTCTTCGACGCCCCAGAATCGATCAAGATTCTAAAGGGATGGTCGTATCCCCGTACACATCCGTGTACTACGAGCAACCCGCCGCTGCTCTTCGCCGATTCGAGAGTGCGAAGACTCTCAGGGGCTAAGTCCCCGTGGTACGCGGCACCCGCGCACCCATCACGAAGACTTAGTTCTTCCCCAGTAGGGCGCCCCGCCCCTACTGGCTCCCGGCGTTCCCCTGTCCCCGGGACCCTGGCTTCTGCCAGCGACCCTTGAGGACGGGCTTGGGGAAGAACCGTCTGCGGAGTCTTTCCGCGGGACAGTCGCGCTTGAAGTGGCTCATCTTCTCACAGCCGAAGCTGCGGATGTCACGCTGTTCGGCGGACCCGAGTTCCATGGGAACTGGTCCGTTGGGGCTTGTTCGACCGGGAGCCGACAAGGAACTCCCAGACCATGCTGAGGCCGGTGTACGCGCCTGGCGATGGCTGTACTCTTCTTGAAGAGCCACTTGAATCGCCTCTTCAAGGGTGCTTGACTGCACCCGGAACAGCTGAGTGCGGGCTAGGCCCACTCGAAGACCGTCCATGAACACAGTCATCTTGATGTGTTCGTTGAGTGGGTTTCCGACTAGGGACGCCGTGAGCTCCCGTATCTCTTGCACATACTCGTGCAGTTCGCGCCTCCCTTGTTTACACGAGAGGAAGCGCGAACGCTGGCGGTACTCGTAGTTTGCCGGGAGGAACGCGGCTCGGAGGTGTTCACACAGCTGAGCCCAGGACGTGAAACATCCAGGGGATGTTGCTTCCCGTGTGTACACCCAACTCTTAGCACGGCCGCTAAGGTTGGAGAGTGCAAACGCAACACGCAGTTGCTCGGTCGAGATCAGAGCCGCGTCGATCGCGAGCTCTACTTCTCGGACCCAGAAGTGAAGGTTCTCGCCTTCCTTCCCTTCATACGGCTTAACCTTCAGCCGTATTGGCTTCGGGTGAGGCGGATTTGCTTCCGCCGCCGGAGCCTGCAGGTTCTCCCCGCACATGCGCGATGAGGCCCTGCTCGTACGCGTCGAACGCATTGACGCGCTCGAGCTGCTCAGCCGGTGTTGACACCACCCAGGGCTCTGCGGGCCTCCATCCCGAAGATGCCTGCCATCTTCCGAACCGACTCGAACTGAGCGTCGTTCATATGGGAGAAGTCGTTCCTATCCATGGCAACGAACTTCGGAGAGGTTCAGGTAGTCTACCCGCGGTGGCGTGGATTGACTACAAGTGCTACCAAGTGTGACGGGTCACACAGCACCTTGCGCTAGAGGAAGTTATCTTCCGAGAGTATACAAACTCTCAGTGAACGGCAGTTCACAGGTCCCCTCTTTATTTAAAAGAGGGCGAAGTGACCTAAATAAGGTAAATTGGAAACTGAGTATATTTATAGGTAGGTTAAGTTTGGCTTTAATACAAACTATAAGTCACCTATAGAAATGCAATGTCGTTGACCAATGGTTGGCTTTGAACGACCTTGGTACTTTGTACCAAATATCCCGGAGTATGACGTGTCATACGCCTGAAGTGTGAAGTGTTACACTTCATGTAACCAGGGTACACTTAGGGCTACGTACCCCGTTACAGAACATCACCGTCGCTATTACAACGTAAGAATCACACTTTGTAGTCTCGTGCTCGCACACGCTACAACACACGTTACCAGCACTCAATATATTCTCTCATCACACTTTACTTCCCCCTTCTTGTCGTTCTCATCACATGTACTTATTGAAACTCCGTTCCGTGAACACACTTCTGACCGCTTAGACTCTTGGAAGGTAAAATGAAGACTGAATTATTTAAGTGCTAGCGCTGCTCTCCCAGAGCTCCTACCGACACAAACGGATTCAACCCCGTTCTCATACAATGACCTGGCCCAACTGATTCTCATCTCGTGTACCAACACTTCATTGTGCCTGGTCCCCAATACGTATTCCAACACGCCCCCTCGAAGTGCAACTTTGACTATCCATCGTCCTCAACTCCAGCCAGCTCCAGCATCGCCTTCAAGCGTCTCTTGTCAAGCGGCTTGGTAAACGTGTCGGCGGGATTCACCTCACCCTTCACCTTGTGAAGGTCAATGATTCCTTTCTGCACTTGCTCGCGCACAAAGTGCCACCGGAGTTCAATGTGTCGTGTGCGTCTGCTGTAGGTCGGATTCGTTGCCATTACATGAGCTGCTTGATTGTCAATTCCGATCTGCAACTTGACCTCATGCTCTGGTAAAATCTCCTGCAAAATGGTTCCTTCTGCTACAGCTTCCATTGTTGCCTCGCACGCGGCCACATACTCCGCTTCTGCTGTCGACAGTGCAACAATTTACTGTCTCCGTGACATCCAGGCAATAGCTCCTCCGGATAATGTAAATACAAAGCCCGTTGTACTCTTCCGCGGCTCCGGATCGGTTGCCCAGTCACTGTCGCAATACACCTCAAGAACAATTTTTCCTTCGTACTTTCTTGAGCTCTTGTGTACGTGATTCCATAGTCTAGAGATCCTGCCAAGTACCGCAGTACTCTCTTCAAGCTTCCAACATGCTTCGCTGACGGTTTGGACACAAACTGACTGATCTGTCCCACCACAAACGCCAAATCAGGTCTTGTTCTCGTTGCTAAGTACATTAGCATTCCAATGACTTCACGGTAAGGAAAACTCGTGTCCACAGCCTCTTCCTCGTTCAGTGGTGCCATTCTAAGATTCACTTCCATGGGGTTTCCGTCAGCATGGGCATTTTGATACCCAATCTTGGTCAAAATTTCACGTGCGTATTTCCCTTGGTTAATGGTGATCTTCTCATGCGTCTGCTCCACTTTCACGCCCAGATACTCGTTCAGCAAACCTTGGTCCTTGATACCATATTCCTCATTCATCTCCTCGAACAAGTCCTTCTTGCTCTGCTCAGTATTCGTTACCACTAATATGTCGTCGACATACACCAGTACGTACATGATCGTATCTCCGTCAAACCGGTAGTATAAGCAGGGCTCAGTCAGCGACTGCAAGTAGTCATGCTTCTCAAACCAATTGTTCAACTCTGAGTTCCACTCACGTCCCGACTGATGCAATCCATACAGTGCCTTCAACACGACATCCACGTATCCGTTGATCTTGCATGGATATCCATCAATGGATCTCAAGTACTGTCTAATCGCTAGCCAGGCATTCAGATATGCGGTATTCATGTCTCCACCATACACCATTAATCCCAGCTTTGCTGCCAACGCCAACAACAGTCTGAACGACGACATTCGTGCTACAGATGCGAACGTCTCCTTGAAGTCAATCCCCGGCCGCTGATAGCTGCCCAGCGCTACAATACGGGACTTGAAACGAACCACATAACCTTGGTGATCCGACTTCACGTTGTACACCCACATTGTGTTCACAGGTGCTGCTCCTTCTGGCATCTCATTCGCCGGAATCTCAGCAACTACTCCCTTGGCCTTGAGAGCTGCCATCTCTTCCATCTCTGCCATCATAAAAAAGTCTCTCCATTTTGATCGCAGCATCTCGCGTCGATTTCGTGGGATCTTGATCTCGCTCGTACGAATGGGTCGTCCATTCTTGTCCAGTACTCGAGACGAATTCATTGTCACGTTCACCATGTAATCATCAAGATATGCAGGACGTCGACGCTCGTGATACTCCCGAAGTCCAGTCCGAACCTTCTTCACATTCTTCTTATCTGCTTCCTGTTCGACCCGTACCTCCTCTGAAGGAGTCTCATCACGGTGCGTCCGCTTGCCAATTTGTTCTGGCTGTACCAGCGGAACAGTTCCTGCACACCCCACTTCTCTGTCTAATTCATCATCAGTCCATACCATCTCTTCGGTATCACTCTGCAATTCTGCATCCTCGCTGCCCAGATCCTCAGCAAAGACACTTGCCCCTGTAATGTCCTTATTACCACCAGAATCCTCGTGTTCATCCAGCTCTTGGTCAGCTGTCTCAGAACCGCAGGTTCCAGCCACAGACACTACTTCTTCATCTTCAATGTCGATAGTATCATTCGTTTCCTGACTGTTTTCGTCCTCAGGTATTTCACCAACAACGACATTAATGTCTTCATCGAGATCACGTGATTGATCTTCATCATCTCGTGCACTCTCAACAACAACATCTCCTTGCTCGTCAACATCGACATGTCTGTCATCTTCCCCAGCGTTGTCATCGAGTTGACCAGTCTCAGCAAGTTGAATATCACCGTCCAGGCCATCACTGCCTGAACCACCGCCATTTTCATCGGCATGGTGCACACCGTCCAGGCCATCACTGCCTGAACCACCACCATTTTCATCGGCATGGTGCATTTGAACATGCACAGCTGAATACACTTCACATCCATCCTGCGTCTGCATATCACTACACTTGCCTCCCTCGAGCTCCGAGTACGACACAGTGCTCAGCTCGCTCAAATCAGTTTGGTTTTCATCTCTTTGAGTGAAATAAAGAGAAGACAGAGCATCATCTTCCAGTTCAGTTGCATGTCGATCACGGTACATGACGTCTTCTGCAACTCGCAAATCGAATGCAAACTTCGCCGTGTGCTCGTCAGGGAAGTAAACTTTGCATCCAACTACATCTTAAGCATAACCCAACACAAAACTGATCTTCGCATGATCGCTAAGTTTCTTGCGTCCAGAAGTTACTGGTACATGGACATATGCCAGTGCTCCAAACCTCCGAATGTGGTGCACGTCCGGCTTGATGCCAAGCAAAATCTCGTAGGGAATTCCTCCAGTTCCCTTATTAAACACGCGGCTTTTCACATAAACTGCGTTTCTCATGGCCTCCGGCCACAGGCTCCTCGGCAACCCCGAGTGTGCCATCGTAGACCGAGTCATGTCTTCCAATGACTGATGTGTGCGCTCACACAGGTTGAGCTGCGAACTCTTCGGTCCGACTTTTACGTGCTCAATCCCCTTCGATCGATACCATGCATCGATTTCGCCGTTGACGGACTCACTGCCTTTGTCACTCCAGACTTGCAGTACTTTGTGGGTAGCTCCGCTGGTGCTCCGACCAGCCTGCCACTCCGCCCACAAGACATATTCCCGCATGTGCTTGTTCGCCACCTAGCTGTCTTTACTCTTCAGCAGGTACACCGTGACAAAGCTAGAATAACCATCCATAATCACCAGGACGGCTTCATACCGAGTAGAATTGTTCTTGCCCGGAATCAGAAGGTCTGCATAGACCACTTGGTTCTGTCTCTTCAGTCCCCGATCCAACTTCTTGCGGTGTGATCTCTTCTTCTGCTTCCCAATGTGGCACGCATCGCACGTTGCCTGCTGTCGCTGTGTCAGCATCATTCCGTGCACTAGCTCC